GAATTACCAAAGTGTTAGGTTCTGGCCGTCCTACTTAAGTTGGATGGTATTTCAGTTCTTATCGATGGGAAATGTGAACTTACATTTATTAGTGTCACACAGCCCATGCAGCTCCAGGCTGGGAGAGGAGTGGGGACAGAGGTGTTGGTCCCAAAGGACTTGGCAGTGCTGGTGGCACAGCTCAGTGTGAGCCAGCAGTGTGCACAGGTGCCAAGGGCATCTTGGCCTGGCTCAAGCACAGTGTGGAAGCAGGACTAGGGCAGTGATTTCCCACTCAGCCCTCTAAGAGACCTTTGCAGAGGGAAAAACATGAGGTGCATAGCACAGAGAAGATGAAACAAGAAGAAATGAGCCTCTTTCCTCACCTGCCATCCTGCCCTGAGGACTGCGTGCGCCTCCTGCAGAAACAAACCAGAGGAGATGTCTGAGGAGCAATTTAAGCCAGAAATCCTACCCAGTCCCCAGGTCTCAGTCCCCACCCAGTGAGGGAGATGTTCTACTTAACAGCTGACACTTCTGCCTGCAATAATGAATCCCTTCAAGCTGTGCCTGATGCTCCCAGGAGATTTCATTCACGCTGGCCACGAGCACAGCAGAGCACAGGGACGTGCAGCAGGAGGGGAATGGCAGGTGGGAGCAGGGGATGTGTCCTCACCTGTACCTGGGCTGCTCAGAGGTCTCCGAAGGTGATCGCTCGGGGACAGACAGAGATGTTGACGACAGAGTTGTGGCTATGGAGGCTGTGGTAGCTTCTTCAAAGGAAGGAGGAGTGCACGGGAGCAGGTCTGGCCTGCCTGCAGGCCCACAGAGGGGCAGGAGAGAGGCAGGAGAGGAGATGAGTAGCTCACCTACACCAGCTCTGTCTGAGGCTGTTCCACCACCAGCCTGCACACCCACACTGGGCCTGGGCACTCACACACACACAGGGAGGTATCTGTGCCCGTGAATAGTCTCTCCCAAAGCATCCTCTGGAGAGAGCACCACGTCCAGCACAAGAGGCAGCAAACAATGCCAGAGAAGACATCTCACTGGTGCCCAAAGCAGATTAAAGGCTTGGCTCACCAGAGATAAACACCCAAGAGAATTAAGAGATGTATTGAGTGCTCAGTGCTTGGCACAGGGAGCAATCTAACACCTCTCAGGGATCCTGTCCTCCAGCACTCAGCTGTGAACACAGCAAGATGGAAGCAATGGAAAGGCAGCACAGAACTAGGCCATTCCTCCCTTCAACAGCAAGATCTTGCCCCTTTTAACTCCCTGTCACTGAGTCCTGCAGTTCCCAGTCATCTTCCCCAACTCGGTTTTATATTAAGGGTGGAAAACAAAACTTTCTGATGGCTTTTGGGCTCTGGTGCTGGTGCCACTTGGGCAGCAACTGCCTTGCTGCAAGTGAGCGTTTCTACTGCAGGAGCACACAGCGCTGCAAAGAAGGGATTCAGTCTTCTTTGATGCAGAGGTATCAAATACCTCTGTGCTGTGACAAGACAATATACTCTTACCTTCTCCCCTGTCCTGGTTAGGTTTAGCACCTGCAAAGCACAGCAAGACATGCAATGAAGAGCTATCCATGAGGGAAGGTCTGCGGTCGGTGCACAGTGGGGAACTTGATGAGAACAGGGAGGATCCTAAGGAACTGCTAGGAAAGAGAGGGTACCCACAGAGCCAGCACCCCCAGAGGGACTGTAGTGGGTTAACTCCTGGCTGCCCGGAGGTCATACTGGGTGTCATCCTTCTCCGAGGGGAGTTGGCTGGCCGAGAACGCCGCGGTGGGACCAACCGTCTTCACAGCCAGCAAGGCACTGCGCCCTTTCTTCGAGGGGGAGGACTTCAGAGCTGGGCACAGGGGAAGGAGAAAATGAAGCTACCACCAACAGCTCCTGTCACACCACAGGCAGCTTTGCCTGCACGGGGAGAGTCTCTGCCCTCACACACGTGTGCTCTGCAGGCTGAGCCAAGTCAGGCACTGGCAGAGCTCCAGGGTGGGAGCCTGAGCAGACCAGGAGACAATCTGAGGGCTCTGCAGTTCCCAGCTGGGATCTGTGCCACAGAACCCCAGAATGGTTTGGGTTGGGAGGGACTTCAAAGCCCATTTTGTCCCACTCCTGCCATGGGCAGGGACACCTTCCACCAGCCCAGGATGCTCCAAACCCCATCCAACCTGGCCTGGAACACTTCCAGAGATGGAGCAGCCACAGCTGCTCTGGGAAATCTATTCCAGCCCCTCAGCACCCTGACAGGGAAGAATTCCTTCCCAATATCCCACCTATCCCTGCCCTCTGGCAGTTTAAAACCACTGCTTCTTGCCTGTCACTATCTGCCTGTATAAAAAAATATATCTCCTTCCTTTTTCTAAGCCCCTTCAGGCACTGGAAGGAGCTCTGAGGTCTCCCCAGAGCTTCTCTTCTCCAGGCTGAGCACCCCCAGCTCTCCCAGCTGTATCACAGTGGAAAAACCTCTCAGGCTCCAGCCCAGAGGCTGCAGAGTAGGACTGAGGTAAGAGCTCACAGCACAGCAGCTCCTGGACTTGATACTCACAGGAATTCTTTCGGAACACTGTGTTGGTCATGAATTTGAAGAATCTCTCTGCATAAAAGCTGGGTCTGTGCACTGACACCGTGTCCTGCAACAGCAAGAAGTGATTGTTTCATGTGAAAATCATCCCTCGAGGCAGAATCTCTCTAACACCAGCACGGTCTGGTTTATTCCAACACTCAGCACTGACAGGGCCTTAAAATGGAAAGGCTTAACTGAAATGCTCTGATTAATGCTATAAATAAACCTGAAGCCTCTGATTGCATTTGATTATATTCTTGCTGTGATTTTCTAATGGATTTTGGTGAGTTCATTCCTTTGTGGACTTTCTGGATTTTGAAAATATATTTGCCTGATTGCATACATGAAATTTCTTCTGGCTTTACTGGATGCAATTCCAAGCACACCTAGACACCTCATATGGGACACAGGCACATCTGGATACCTGGCACAGGACACAGACACCTGAATACCTTGCAGGGGTCATAGACACCCAAATTCAGCCAAAGGTCCCCATAAAATCCAAATATTTTTGCTTAAAATAGTACAACTGAAGCTCTGCTTTTGTGCTCCCATGATTGGCATCTCCACAGTGTCACATTATTTAGGGAAGGGAGATGCAATGCTGACAGTGTCCACATCCAAGGTTGTTCTTGCAGAAACACACACCTGGCTGCTGCAGGATTGAAGCCAGCAGGGAAACAGGGAAAAGGATGTATTGGCAGAGCTGGGTGAAGTGGAAACAGCCCAATAGAACAGTTCAGAGCTCCGTGACACCCCCAGGAACACACACCCCTGTGTGGTGTCACGGGAAGCAGAGGAGGGAGCACGACAGCCCAGCATGTGAGGAGGTGGAGTGAGCAAGAAAACCTGACTGGGCACAAGAGGCACCACCCTCTGTGCAGGCACGAGAAGCACCAAGTGTTCCTTCCATCAGCTTCAGCCATGCCAGGGCAGCACTATGAGCAGGAGGGAATTGGCACCAGGTGACCCTGTCCAGGCCTGGACAGCTCCTCTCTGTACACACACTCACCCCATCATGGACAAGGGCCTTCCAGGTGTGTTCCAGCTTCTTGATGAACCTGATTCCAGGGGAGGAGGGGGCAGAAAGAGAGAGAGAGAGAGAGTCAGGCAGGTACTCTGTTTCTAAGCCATCTTTTACACCCCAACAGAGAAGATCCCTGAGCTGCTGTCACAGCGATTCCTCAGCCACGAGGACTGAGCTTTCCTCCAGCATCTCCAGTCAGGTCAGGACAGCCTGGGAACACCACAGGGAAGGAGGGGCTGGGCTGGTGGAGGGGCAGACAATCCCCTGCCACCCCTGGGGATATGCTTTCTATGCTGGAAGGAAACTTCTCCACGAGCAGCTCTGTCCTGGAAAAATGGCTGTGTCCAAGGACAGGATGAAAACCCATGGCCAGCTCTGGGCAGCCTGCCTGCTCGTCCCCACACACCCAGGAGAGGAGAATCTCCCTGCTTTCATTTGGTGCTAAAAGAGATGTAAACAGCCAGACAGTCAGACGACTGGCAGGTCACAAACCTGTATGACTGCAGGATGTCTATGATCCCCACGTGCAGCAGCAGACGCTCTCCCTTGCCATTCACTGCTGGGATCCCTCCCATCCTGTGGGAAAAGCACAACCTCAGCAGGGAGAGCCTCAGCCAGAGCCCCTGGAACACCCAAGCCCTAGGGAAGGGTGACAGCGGCCCCAAACAGGGCCCTGGTGGTGTCAGACACAACCCAACCCCTGTGGGGTCACTCTGGGCATGACCAGGGGAGTCACTGCCTGACTCACCCTGAGCCCACGTGTCCCACGGTCACTGCCTGCATGGCCACACACCACTATCAGACAGGTCCTGTGGTGTGGCACAGTTCTGCCAGGGCCAGGGAGCACCACAGTGCTCTTCCCTGGCTGCTTTGTTCTGGGGACCCTCATCTGAGCTCCTGTTTCCACTGGGGTACCAAACCCTGAGGGATGAAGGTAATTCCAGTTTTATCCACACTAGTATCACCCTGCCAAAGGTTTGGGTGCTGAGCTAGAGCATGGGTGGATGTTTAGGGGACCTCGTTAATGTGTTCAAGTCCATGAACGGGAAGTGCCAAGATGATGGAGTCAAACTCTGCTCAGTGATGGGAACCAATAAAACGAGAGGGAACAGCAAGAACTGATGTACAGGAAGTTCCACCTGAACACAAGGAAGAACTTCTTTCCTGTGCAGTCACTGAGCACTGAACAGATTGCCCAGAGAGGTTGTGGGTTCTCCTCACTGGAGATATTCCAGAAGCATCTGGACACAGCCCTGAGCTATGTGCTCTATGGTGACCCTGCTTGAGGTGGGACCAGATGACTTCTGTGGTCCCTTCCAACCTGACTGATTCTGTGTTACACAACCTCCAGCCTGGCCTAAGGGAGACTGCTGCGAGGCCAGAGCCTTCCAGGACTATTCCCATCCCAGCTCCCCCTTTGCCCCCACACTGGCAGTGCTGCCAGGACCCCAGGAGAGCTGCTCCCTCAGGCAGCTCCTGTGGGCATCACTGGGGGTTCCTGCTCCACCTCTGCCCCTCACGAGGGCACGAGGCAGCCGAGGGTTGACCCACGTGTCGTCGGTGTCGATGGACTCTCCGCGGGCAGCTCCTCCCTGGATGGACTCCATGGCTGTGGAGTACAGAGCCTTCTGCCCCACTGGTCTCTTCTCGTCCGACGTGCTGTGGGCACCCTCAGACAGCTGCTCTCGCTCCTGCTGGTCGATGTTGTGAACCCCAAGCAGGAGGCTGTAGTCCATGATTTTAAAACTTTCCAAGACCTACAGGTTAGGACAAGAACAAAGACAAAGTATCAAGCCAGAGGCTCAAACAGCATAGATCCCAAAGCATGGAACAGCACGTTCCCTCCAACCCCTTCACCACAGCCTGGAAGTTTCTGGACCAATCATAGAATTTTATGGGCTGGAATGGACCTTAGAGATCCTCCAGCCCCAACCCCTGCCCTGAGCAGGGACACCTCCCACCAGAGCAGTTGCTCAAGGCTCATCCCAGCCTGGAATGAACACTGCCAGGGTTGGGGCAGCCACAGCCTCCCTGGGCACCCTGTGCCAGTGTCTCACCCACAGGGAAAACTTCTGCCTAACATGTTCCTCATCCTCCCTGAGCTGTCCCTCCTCACCAGGCAGTCTCGCTGCAACGTCTTCACTAAAGCGCTGAAGGTGTCTGCATCCAACATGAGGCCCTCAGGCATGTCCTGGATGAAATCCAGGTCTTTGTAGGTGGGGCTGGACTTCTCCTTTTCCTTCTTGGATGCTCTGCGCTTGTAGGTTGAGCCTTTGAGGTCGAACTTGAGGTGCATTTTGACCACTCTGGGCAGGATGTTGTTCATCACCACCACGCGGATGTTTTTGCCCCCAGACTGCACACAGTACAGTCCATAGAACTTTGGCAGCAGTGTCCGGGGGTTCTGGTTCAGGTTCTGCAGCAAGGAGGAAAAAAGCAGGGAGAAAGGTGATTTTGGGGCAGAAAATTCCCACTGTGCTCACCACACACATTCTTGGAACAGTCAGACTTGGGGCTCTTCATCTAGAGAGTTTCTGAACCTGACAGGAGCTCAGTGTACAAATTGGACAAACTCTTGTGCTGCAGTGGCTTTAGAACCTAAAAATACAGGGACTGAGATGCTCAACACTCTCTGGGCAAACCACCAAGCCCGGAAATTCCCTGCTTTCCCCACGAACAGCAGCTAAAAAAGGGAAACCAAAACTGGGAGAGAAATAAACACAATAAGTGGGAACTTCAAGTTTAAAAATAACATCTCTCTTCATCTCCTCACAAGTGTCAGATTCAAGAGCTGTTCTCCAGCCCAGAATAAACCAGGGACAGAGCTGGTTTTGGAACAAAACAACAGAAATGTTCTCCTCCCTTTGCAGAGCTGCTGGACACAGCAGCCAGGCAGGGAGCACCAACATCCCACCCTGCCACCGGCTCTGTCTCCAGGCAGTGCCCTGTGAGGAGTGACAGGACAGGCAGGATTTGCTTGCTCAGCTTGGGGAGGAAACAGAACATCTCTGCAGGGAGGAAGGACAGACCCCACAGCCCTGACAGACAGAAATGTGACTGTGTTACCACTCACTCCCCTGTCCTCTCACCCACCTGGGCACAGCACTGAGCCCTCAGGAGGCAAACTGAATGCAAACAGTCTCAAAGAACTCGGGATGACCCCACTTTGCTCCCTCTCCTGCCTCCTTGGCACACATGGTGTCCCAGGAACCACAGGCAGTGCCAGGCCACAACAGGCAGCACAGACTCTGCCTCAGACAGGTGAGTGCAGCTTATTCACTCCCTGCTGGCCAGAACTGACTGTGCAACTCCATTCCCAGTCAAACCCCAAGACCTGATTTAATCCTCATGTGAGGCCACAGGTAAAGCTTTCCAAGAAAGCACATGGTTGTCCAGCCCTGGCTCAGCTGCCCAGGGCAGTGGTGGAGTCACCATCCCTGGGGGTGTTCAAACACCTTGTGGATGTGGCACTTGAAGACATGTTTTCATGGTGAACATGGTGTTGGTGCTGGTTGACAGTTGGACTGGACCTTGGAGGTCTTTTCCAGCCTTACCAGCTCTGATTCCATGATTGCAATCTGCAGCCATTCCCCAGACCAGGCTGAGGCAGATGCACAGTGCCAAGCAAAGAGGAATGAACCAGTGCTGGGAAAAGGACACTCAGAGACACATCTGGACAGCCATTTGGAGGCCACAACATGCCTCTAAGCTATGGCACAAATATCTGCCTCACATTTACACAGTGTTTGCAGATCCTCAGCAGGATTTGTCCTGCTGGGCCTGGTTTGATGACCTGCTGTCAGCACTGGCCCTGGCACAGGCACAGCCCAAGTGCAGGATGTGCCCTGGACAGAACTGAGCTGGACTGAGGTGCTGGGTGATACACACCATGTAGTAGCCAGGAAGGAGTTTCTGGAGGAATTCAGCTTCCTTGTGCATCACAGTTTTTATGATGAACTCATCGTCGCTGGTGACGTAGAAGAGGGAGCCACTGGCCCCAGGGTTGGACAGCTCGATCAGGGGCTCATTACATAAGGAATACTGGGGAGGAAAAGACAAAAAAAATGGTGTTGAGCCCTCACTTATTGCAGGTTCTTCACCCCCAAGCCCTTCCCCAGCATCTTGTCCCCCTGGGAGGTTAAGGGTAGCAGAGCTCACATGAGAACTCTTTTCATTATAGCTTAGGTCTGAGCAGCCAATGGCCAACGCACAATCAGAGACCATGATTACAGTCCAGAGCATCCCAACTGCTCAGAATCCAACTAATATCTGCTGTCAGGGCCATGCAGCCTCCAGAGTGACATCTTATCTGCTCCCACCGTGCCTGCGTCGCACGGAGCACGCCGAGCCCTCCCAGCACATCACCGTGTGCCCGACGGACACGGAGCACCTTGGAGACACAACCACCTGCTCAGGGAGCTGAGGCAGCACGAGGCACTGCCTGTTCTCATCAACCTCCCCTGGCCTTGTGCTCCTCTGCTGCAGAGCATTTCCCAGCCACATCTCACCCACTCGGTGCTGCAGGGAGCAGAGTCCCAGCCTGGGTGTGCAAGCAAGAGAGATCAGCTCTGTGAGCACAGCCAAGGGTTGTGCAGCAGGAGCTGAGCTGGGAGCACATTTCCAGCCAGCAGCAGGCAAAGAGCTGCACTTTGCAGCTCAGTGACCACACAGGTCCCACTGGGGGTCAGCTGGGCTCAGGGCAGCACCAGAGCTGCCCCGGGACAGTAAGGAGAGAGAGATATGGGGGGTGGAAGGAGGTGTCAGAGCATAAATTAATGCTCATCATTACATACTGTAAACAGCTCTCAGCCCGGAGCAGATTAAGGATCCAGGACTCGATCAGAGTTAATCATCTCACGCATAATTAAAGGCATGTGCTGCTGTGGCAGGCAAGAGGCAATCAGGGGAAGCAGGAACAACAAATCAAGAGCCACGACCTTTGCTACTGAGGCAGGTTCCTTGCCTGGACCATGTGCTGAACCAGTCGCCCAGCAGCCAGCACTGCCTTGGCACAGCTGGGCATCACTCCACCCTCACAGCCTGTGCTGGCTGGAAGGCACCTTGAAGGAATGTTTGTCCCCACAGTGCCTGGCTTCGAAGCCTTGGTGTAGGGCACTGAAAACAGCAACCCTGGGCCTCAAGGCTTGTCGAGCCACAGGGTGTCTCCAGCTGCCGAGAGAACTGAGCACCATCGTCCAGCACTCACAGCCTCTGGCTGATCCAGATCACCACTGTCCACCACCCACATCTTCCAGCTGCCCACCACTGACATCACTGCCAGAGATCCCCAGGCTGGGAATTGCTCCACTCCAGGGGAACTGACCAACCAGTGCCCCAACAGAGCCCTATTAAAAGGACCAGAGTCCAGAGTATGGCAGATACCTACCACTGGAGAAAAGATGATCATGGATCATTGGAATGTTACTGAATTCTGTGGTGGTGACTATCTCTGCTGCCCCATCCCAAATCTTGCTTGCTTCCTCCATTTTCTGTTTCTAACTTTCCTATCACCCTTTCTCTTTCCCCCTTGAGTAACCACTAATAAAGTCTCACTCTCTAACAGTGTCTTAACCTTGTTTGTGTCTTAATTCACATTGGGGGAATCGATCAAACACTCCTGAGTCTTATCAGACCAGAACCCCAGCACAGGTTTTTTCCCTGGCACAGGTTGTTTCCCTGGCACAGGTTGTTTCCCTGGCACAGGTTGCTTCCCTGGCAGGTTTTCAGCTACAATCACCCCTGTCTACAGGTGCAGTCAGACCAAAAGGGCTGTTCCATGCCCTCATGGATGTGTTTCCTCTTCCAGTTCATCAGGACATCACATGCAGGCAAGAGCCCAAATCCAAGCCCAGAGCACTTCAAGCCCCAACAGCTTGTACTTCAAGGTATTTGCAAACCAGCCTTTCCAGCTCTGAGGAGCTTTGGGAGCACAAGAACAAGCTGTGTTTGATTCTGTCTTTGTAAGATGATTAAAATAACTACACTCACATAACTCTGGAGTGAGTACACAGGGAAAAATTCCCATCTTTGTCCTCAGAGCCCCAGGGGACATTACAGGGTCGCACCCAGCAGAACACAACTCCTTTGGCTTGTAAACACAGCGAGTTATTGTTACTACCAGGGCCAGAGAGGGAAGGCCATGGCACAGCTCACACAGCTCACACTGTCTGCAGGTCACTGCAGCCTGACAGCTGCTGCTCAGAAAACCCAGACTTGGAGTCTCAGAAGGCTCTGGGTGGGAAGGGACCTTAAAGCTCATCCCATCCCACCCCTGCCCTGGGCAGGGACACCTCCCACCAGCCCAGGCTGCTCCAAGCCCCATCCAACCTGGCCTGGAACACTCCCAGGGATGGAGCAGCCAGAGCTGCTCTGGGCACCCTGTGCCAGAGCCTCAGCACCTCACAGGGAAGGTAAATAAAGGAGAAAAGACAGAGAAATCCCAAAACATCCCTACCAAATAGTCATCCGGACGAATCCCGAAGAGCTCTCGGAAGTATCGGAATGCCACTGGCGCGTAGGTCTTGAACCTGAAGTCAGCGTAGTGGTGTGCTGGGGTGAGGTTGCTGCCCTCGCTGCACAGAACACACAGACGTGAGCAGGTGCCACCACCCACCACACAGAATCACAGAATCTTAGAATCAACCAGGTTGGAAGAGACCTCCAAGATCATCGAGTCCAACCCTACCGTCGTTCCCAGACCATGGCACTGAGTGCCACATCCAGTCTCAGCTTGAAAACCTCCAGGGATGGTGAATCCACCACCTCCCTGGGCAGCACATTCCAATGTCTGATCTCTCTCTCCCTAAAAAAAGCTCCTCCTAATATCCAACCTAACCCTCCCCTGGCAGAGCTTGAGTCTGTGCCCTCTTGTCCTACTGCTAGATGCCTGTACACAGTCCTCCCAAGCTGACTGTGTGTCTCAGGTGAACTGGGCAACACTACTCACCACCTTCCTTACCCCCTTTCCCCTGCTGCAAGACAAGAGGGAAACAGGGTTCAATGAGCTGCCCAAATTCCCAGAGGGTGAGGGAACAACCACTTGTCAAGCAGAATATATTTGCACAGGGAACATAGCTCTTGTGAGCTCTGTTTATTCACAGCTAAAGAGCTCCCAGAAGGAGGCTGCTGCAGCTCCAACGTGGTGTGATTTCATGGAAGGAGTGCTAGGTGGACAGGTAGGAAGAGGAGCACGTAGGAAGGGTTAGAAGCTGAACACACAGTACTGCATCTCACACTGTGCTTCCCCACAAGCCATGGCACTGCAGGCTCCAACACTTCCCACTACTGTGTCTTGATGGCATGGTGCAGATCTAGAGCACTCAGAGCATCCAGCTCTGGTCTAAAGACAGATGGAAGCTCTCTTGACAGTCAGGGAGAGGCAAAGAAAGAACTCATTCTTTCCCCTGTCTTCTTTACCTTGGGAAGAAAATGCTCTCCACCACATAGAAGTCTTGCATGAGGACATCCCTCTCTGGCTTGGAGCTCAGGTTGCCCACAGTATATCCGATGCCCAGCTGGATGGCTCCTTTCAGGGTGGATGAGGTGGTCTGGCAGAAGGAGAAGAGCAGTCAGTGAGTATTTCACAGCAGATTGGCACAGTAACATCCCCTGTAATACAACACAGCCAAGTCTGTGACTCCTGTGGGGTTGTCTCAGGCACTACACACTGCTAGCCAAGCCCATCCAGCTGCTCCAGATGGATTAGGGTTCCCGGGTTTGCTGTCTGCAGGACTGTGCTGTCCTGGGGAGCTGCACAGAACCTCAGGGTTGGGCCCCAACTTCTCCTCTCAGCCTGTCACCCCCACATGGCTGTCATCCCCTCTCCCCAAGCCAAACCTTTTTGTAGGTGGTTTCTCCAGAAGCATCCACACTTCGATGGCCAATCTTCTTCCCTTGGCCAGGCTGTCCTGGCAGTGATGGTCCCTGCAAAGAGAGTGTGTGGCTCAGGACCAGGGCAGAGGCTGAGCTGCCCAAGCACAGAGAGGCACAGCCACACGCCACGGCTGTGCCCAGCACAGGGTCACTGCAGAGCACAGTGTAACTGGCACCTGCAAGCTTCACCCAAGGCTGTTGGAGTTCTCCTTCCACCCCTCAAGATGAGCTAGAACAGCAACACTCCACCTGACACCTCAGAGAAAATGCTGAGCTTGGGCAAGCTCCAGCTGCCAAGATTCCCTTGGTGCTGGACTGTGGTTTCCCAGTGATTTGAAGCAGAGATGTATTAGATCCAAAAGCCAAGAAGTTTATTCTTAAAAAGCTCATGGCCTCAGGTGCCACAGTGACACCTCATGCTTGGCTGGAGAGCTCAGAGCCAGCTGACAGGCAC